ATATATATATATATATATACATATACATATACATACATATATATATACACATACACGTATATATATATATACAAAAAAGTAAAACGTGTATGTATGTGTATATATATATATACACACATACATACACACACGTTTTACTTTTTTGCTGTTGTTGACATTTTGTAGTTTGAGGCCATGACACTTTGGGCCTTTGTGTCTGTGCCTGGTGGACCCGTTCAGTAATAGAGGTGAACGGTTTGTAAAGCCTCTAAAATGACTTAAAATGAAATTAACGCCAACAGCTTTCAGTGCAACTCTTTCTCTGGTAGAAAAACACAGCCTCCAATGTACTCAGCTGGCAGTAAGCTGTGAGGATTAACTGCTCCTCGAGGGAGCATGAGAAGCAGGCTAACCCAACCCAACCAGGTTGGCCTTTCATAATCACTTCGCTAACGGTGTCAACACGTTTCAGGGCGTCCCGATGACTTGGCTCAGGCTGCTACACACACATGCTCAGAATTATGCAACCGCCCCGTCTCTGTCGCTCTCTCACCACCACCCACTCCTCCTCCTCCTCCTCCTCCTCCTCATCATCTCTGGATGGCCTACATTCAGTCGTCATTGCGTAAACACTCCAAGTGAGATCGTATTACACACGGACTAACTGACGCGGCCAGCGAGCAGTTACATCGCATCCACCTGTCTGCTACATGTGATGTTTTTACGTAATGCTTGTGTGTGGACCAGCAACAATGAGAACATGTGGGTGGGTGGATCCTTCACTACCGCCCCATCGCTGCTCATAACACACACTCGGTTATCTAGGTTGAGTTCACTGGGAACTTCTCAATGACTCATTTGAGAATGCATATCATAAACAGGTTATTTCAGTGAAATCATAACTTCTTAATACCAGTTTTGTCTGAACATTTTCTGAGGTTCTTTTTACGGATGTCACGATGCCAGAAGTTGAGTACAAATACCAGTGAAATTACACAATTATCGATACCACGGTAAACAATAAAAGTTAAACCGTAAATCCAATATACTGTAACATACACTCTGTCCATACGTTTTTGTTGGGAAGTTAAATGGGTCATAATTCCCTGTCTACTATATATTTTATACTGCTGTGAAAACATATCCTTTAACTGTATTTATTCAATTTTCTCGCCAAAACTATATTTGAACCTGAACTCATCATGATGTAAATCAATGGCACCTCATGTTAGCTGTTGGCTTCATGCAGGACATGAAATAAAGACTCTTCTTGGTCCTGCGCTGGTTGATGCCAGGCGGCTTCTGAAGTGTGAAGCCAATGCTGAAGGGCCTTAAACCTGCATTCTCTCTAATGGCCATCAGGGGGCGACTCCTCTAGTTGCAAAAATACAAGTCTAATTGTATAGAAGTTTATGAGGAAATGACTCTACTTCTCTCTTGATTTATTACCTCAGTAAACATTGTAAACATGAGTTTATTGCCTCAATCTCTAGTTTCAATACAGCATTAGTAAATTATGGTCCATTTAGTCAAACAGACCATAAAGCAGGGTATGCTTTAGGGCGGGGCTTACTGTGATTGACAGGTCGCTACCAGAGCAGAATACAGCGTCTCGACATCACTCCTCCGCATTCAAAATATGGTCACTTCCGTTCACTGGTTGCAAAAAAAAACAACAAGATGGCGACGGCCAAAACGCTGCACTCAAGGCTTTAAAGCGACAGTCCACAAACCAATGGGTGACGTCACGACGACTACGTCCACGTCTTATATACAGTCGACGGTTGAGGCAGAGACGATTAACCTTAACGATGGTTAAGGTTAGGCATTGAACGTGGGTAGTTAGGGTCAGGATAGGGCATTGCTAATGATAAACTTAAGTTGATAATTAGTTGAGACCGACCCTTCCGTCACCTCTTATATCTTCCTCTATCTGATCAATGACATCTACAATCCACTGTCCGCTATCTCCTGTCTTCTCTGTCCTTGAAGGCCTCATCATTTCCTCTCAGTGTCTCACGAGGCCCCCCGCTGAGTCGGCGTGGATCAGATACTTACACTCCTTGGACATTCCCGCTGCGAAGCACCTCTGGAGCCGACAGTACTGACAGCGGTTCCTTGTGATCTTGTTGATGATGCAGTTTCGGTCTCGGTGGCAGGTGTACGCCATGTTTTTCTGCACGCTGCGGCGGAAGAAGCCCTGCAGAGGCAACGGGGAGAGTGGAGAGAAGATATTATTCATTCAAGTTACCATGAGTATGAAATAACCTTTTTATGTCATCTGGAATCGTTCTGACACCGTAAACAGGTGTATTTACTTTTATAAATTGGATAGTTTACAGTGATATTAGTGGTATGTTTCTCCAAATACAGTAATCAATAACTAACTAATCATCCTGTACAAACATATTATGCATTCAGATATTTACTCCATTCATGGTCAGTCATTAGGAAACATTAGATCATGTCTGTAAAAAGGTTTTGTGCCAATCCACCAAGTGGATTCTACTGGCTGTAGAATATAATACAGGCCTTTTTTATTTCAATGTTTACAAAAATTACAGATGAAAAGAAACCTTTAGGATACTTTTATTGTCAGTTGAATTGGGAATAATAGCAGGTTCCAATGATATGAATAAAGCTACTGTTATGTGTATGTGTGCTATACTTTAGAATCAGGCAACGTGCTTTTAAATAGCTTGATTTTCAGCAAAAACTCAGTGTGATTCTGCAATAACGTCACAAACTACAACTCGAAATGTGGTGAAAACATCTACAAACAACACAGATACACATCTGGAATTACACAAGTCAGATTGTTTACAGCAGCGTGTTTACGTTGTCTAGATGGAAGTCACTGTTGCTGAAATATTGACTGAACAACATGTTTACCAGGACAAAGTTCAGGTACTGTAGTGATGTTGGTGTTATCTCTGAGCAAATAGAGCAATCAATATTTATTCATGGTGTATTTGTTGAGGAGAGATACAATATACATAGGCAAACTGAAAACAGCTATCAGATGCAAGTAGTGTTGAAAGCAGAAGCTAATTTGCAAAACACGGTCCTAGAAGGGTCGAAGATATTAAAACGTGCTGTAAAAATGTATTATACATAATGAACTTTGGAGCAGCTGTTTCATCCCTTGCTTTCCTGGAGCAAGGGTATTTTATTTTTACATTTTTTACCACAGGCCTGACATGTTACCTTGCAGCCCTCGCAGGCGCTGACGCCGTAGTGGTAGCCCGAGGACTTGTCTTGACACACGAAACAGGGCTTGTAAGTGCGAGGAGGCAGCGGCGGGGAGGCGGGGCTGGCGAACAGGTCGTCTGAGCTGGAGCTGGAACTCTGGCTTTCAACGGCTGCAAACACACAATTTGACACCAAAAAAACACTCATTAACAAGCACAACAGGGAGAATGTAACATACTGTCACTTATAAGTTTGAACCTTTTGGGTTTTAATATCAAAGAAATCTGATCGAGCACTTGATTTCATGACAGCGGCATAATAGTAGGATAGTAAACAGAATATCTTTGGGTTTTGAACAAGCAATTTGAATACGTCTTCTTGGGCTGTGGGAGATATTAACAGGCATCTTTCTCCATTTTTTTTATTCTATTTTATGGACAATCGATCATTATAGGGCATTCACTATTTATTCAAAATATGTACTTTCATTTGAAGTGGGAAAATATTCAAAATCACATTCAAAATGTACCGTTCATACAGAACTTGCAACATTATGGGACAATAGGAACATTTTATGCCAAAATAATTACAAGTAAGAGAATTATTTCACAGTCCTCTTGTTACTGGGCAGGACATTCATGTGAATCTACACTGATCTTATCAGCTCTTATCAATAAGAAGTGGACGTAGTCACCGCGATGCCCACCACGTCACCATCTTGTTTTTTTGGACCAAAAGTGACAGAAGAGGGTGGAGATACAACCGACCGCTTAATAAGACATTTATAGGGGACAAAAATGCTCAAAGAGTTAAAGATGTAAGAAGAAAACACGGACAACTCCCAGACCAGACAATGCCGTGCTAGAAACCTGTCAATCACAGTAAGCCCCGCCCTAAAGCATCCCCTGCTTTATGGTCTATTTGACTCTAAATGGACCATCATTCACTAAATGAACATCGTGCTGTATTGAAGAAGACTTGACACTAGAGATTGAGACCATAAACTCATGTTTACAATGTTTACTGAGGTAATAAATCAAGAGAGAAGTAGAGTCATTTTCTCATAGACTTCTATACAACCAGAGGAGTCGCCCCCTGCTGGACAGTAGAGAGAATGCAGGTTTAAGACACCTCAGCATTCATTGGCTTCCAGCTTATCGCCTGGCCTTTATCAGACTCTGAGACGACAACACTTATTCACATTTATTGAAAATGTGGAGTTACATATCTGCACTTGTCCTTCATGGACTAAGAAACCAAAATTCTCGAGTGAAACCCCAACTGTGTCATGAATAAGAGAGTAGGCGCTCTGTCCAGAGAAAGCAGGACTCATCGATCACAAACCGGCTCTTTGGAAATGTAGTCAACGTAGAATTTACTTCTCCATAACATGCACACATTTGCACCTATTGTGGCAAAGCGTTTATCTCAATCTTTCCAGTTGATCATTTCACAACAGTCCACCCTCTTCAACTTCAACAGACGCTTTTGAGAGGAGAATTGCTGCGGTCTGTGGGGGCTCGCTCAGCCTCCCCCGCCGGCTCTCTGATCACCTCCACCGCTGACAGAAAACGAAGAAAGTCGTTGTTGAAAAAAGGGGGACAAAAAAAAAAAAAAGAGAAAAATTGCTCATCTACATCCCCTCGAACCCGTGGCCTCTAATTGAACCTGGAATCAGCGGGTCAATCGAGGACACCCCCATCAGCCCGAACACAAAACAATGGCGGAGCATGCCACGAGCCCAGCTGACTGATGAGAGGGAGGGAGAAGAAACAGAAAGTGTGTGCGGTGGGGCAGTGGCAGTCATTTGGTCGGGGGAAGGGAGAAAGAGGGGGCCCCCGTCCCAATTTAGGTGGTGTTGTGTGATGTACGCGACAATGCCTTTAACATTTAAATCAAACATATTTTGGAGCCTGCGGGATAAAAGTTTAAAAAGTCAACTTGCATGTGAAAGAAGTTGCATACGAGCTTGATATTTTTAGTAAATTTCATGTGAAGAAAGCAGCTCTTTTTGTGATTAACCTCACTTTGCTTGTTGCTAAATACAACATCCATAAATCAAAATTCAAAAGAAGCATTTTCTGTCGCAGCCCTCACAACGAATTCACTTATTTTCTCCACTGATTATTTTCTAAAATGTCAAAAGGAGTGAAACACGCTCATAATAATTTCACAGAGTCCAGAAATGATTCTGAAGAAACAATAATAACCGACAAACATTTCATTTACCGTCATATTCGACAAAGAAAAACTTAAAATCTTCACATTTGAGAAGCTGCAACCAGCCTGAAAAATTACCAAAGATATTAGTTATCAAAACAGTTGCCTGCAGCTTTGGGTTATTTATTTGTACATCTTTTGTCTCCTTTTACTGGTTAAAAATACTTTCAGTATTGAGACGTGAAAGCAGCGACAGTCTGTAAGTAAGAAACTCACAAAATACTTCTGAGAAAAATGGCCCCTGTGGCTGATAATATATTATTACATGTGACATTATTAGATTATTAGATTGTTTGATCTATTGAATGAGGGAAAGCAATTCTACGACACTGTGTTTTCATTTAAATGACTAACTTTAATATTTATGTGAAATAATTGTACCTCTTTGTGCATCTTAATGCAGGACTTTTACTTGTACTGTCTTCTTGTTTTTACATGTGTTGTACTTGTACTTCTACTTAAGTATAATATATGGGTACTTCCTCCACCACTGACAACAGTCTGGCTCTCCTCTGAGCCGGTGACCGTCCGGTGAACCCGCGGTGACCCCAAACTGACCGGCCCGTCCCAAACACAGACCACCACACTGCCATGAGCCGCTCTGTGCACAGCTCCCTGTTTACTGATGATTATGTGAAAAACAAAAGCTTCTGAACTCACCACGAAAGGCATCGCAGTACATTGATCACGAGATTTACTTTTTCCCCTACTTGACTTTCATAAGCAGTTTATAAAACAATCAATAAATGTGTTGTAACACACTAAAGTGTAGTTATACACGACCATGAGAGCATTTTAAAGTTTGTAATACTGTACAGTATTTGTCACAGTTATAACATCTCTTATGAAGTCTACTTTATATTATTAAAACTGTGTTTCATTCATTGTGTGTTATGGGTGCCCACGTGAGTTATGGTTGTTGACAAATAAATGAATAAACACTTAAATCTGCTTACATGAAACCATCAATTAAACATTTATATTCTGCTTATAAATGTTAAATGAGGGGTTAAAGTGAACTGTTACAGCAGAAGGAAAAGTCCTTCAGACATGATTAGAGGAAAAAAACTCAAATATGGCTTCAAGTCAGTTTTTGTATTTATTCTAATATTCTTTTGTTCGTTTGTCAGCTCCAACTGTTGATATCTTCCAAAGTAAACTTAAAATAGACCTCCTTTAGCCTGGATATTGTTTAGAATTATGTTTTTTTAAATGTTTTTGTTTTAAAATCATCATTTATTTAAATGTGTTCATGCTCAACAAGATATTTTATTCGTTTGTGTCTATTTGACTGTGTTTTAAACCTATTTTGTTTTATTTATTTATTTTCAGCATTGTTATGTGTTACCTGCGTTAGGCTCAGATTGTTTTGCTGTTCACATTTGTTCACATCTTATTATCAGCGTTGTCAGTCTTCTGTTAAGCACTTTGAATTGTATTAATTAGTAGATGCATGAATTCTTGTTGACTGAACTCACCTGATGTGATTTTGTTTAGCCAATAAATTAAAGTGTATAGAGGAGGGTGTCAAGCACAACATTGAAAAGCCTTAAGTTAATTTGTTTGGCCATATAACTACAACAAACTTGATGTAACATGATTCATTTCTCTTTTTAAAATAATATGATGTTTACCTTATGGAGGCCACCAAAACATCACTGATGCAAATTATTTTAAAAATGTAGTTTTCCACCTACACTGCGAGCACCGGTGCTGCTGCCAGTCCGCCTCGACCAGCTCGGGGAAGAAGGCTGCCAGGTCCTGGTCCTGGTCCTGGTCCTGCAGCATGCACGCAGGGCTGGACGTGGACGCGTACAGGTCCAGGACTTCTCCGGGACCGAAAGCTTGAAATTCCAGATAGTCAAACATCTTCGAGGTTTCGGTCTCCGCGACTGAGACCCTGTCCGCATGTGCAAATCCTTCACAGCAAAGGCGGGGTTTTTTTTTGCCCCCCCCCCCCTCCTTACTCCGTTTTGAGTTTGATGCAAACGGTGTTTTAAGAGTAAAACATGCGTGTTGCATTCAGAGGGGCGTGTGCAGACCTATGTTTCGTCACAGACGGTCAGAGAGTGTTCGCATGTCGCTGTGCAGAACAGCCACTGGCGGTTAAACGCGTCCAGGTTTATTCTGAGGCTGTTTTGCATAACAAAGTTAGTCCCGGGACTTTCTTCCTCTTATCTCCTCTTTATTGACGAATGTCTCAACTCGGCCCTGCTTCATACTAGTTATGTCAGAGCGAGCGATGGTGTTACCTAATGTATGCGAGTGAACTCCCGGTGAACCGCCTCCGCTGCTGGCCTTCACATGACCCAGCCGTGGCGTGACGTCACCGGCAGCGGTTGGAAACAAAAACCGTTATTTTACTTTGAGTAAAAATTATTTATTCTGTAAAAGTAGGCGAACACGATGAAAGTTTAACTTTGAAAAGTATACAATCTGGAGCATTAAAAAACAAGAGATATTATATATATTTTTTATGGTCTTTCTTCTGCTCAAAATCTGGCGCCTACAATCCCCACAATGCAATTTGATCGTGGAAGTCGGCCGGTTGGAAACACCTACCGAAGTGATTTACTCAAGTACAAGTATTAATACTGTAAAAGTAACCGACCACCGTCAGAAGTTTAACTTTGAAAAGTATAAAATGGAAAGCAGCATAATTCGAGAAATTTTATTCCGAGTAATCTTCTTCCTGTTCAGAATTTGGCGCCTACAATCCCCATAATGCAATTCGAGTGTTGACCGTGTTATGTAGCTAACTAAGTATCTTATTAAAAGTACGGCACTTCGGTACAGTTTAGAGGTACTTGTCTTTTACTCAAGTATTTCCATTTTATGCCAAGGTGCTTTATAAAAAGACAATACTTTTACTACATTACATTTATACACTTACACACTTACAAATATTAAAGGCTACATTTAGATGCATTTTTAAAATGTGAAGTATTTCTTCAGTTTAAAGGAGCCTAAAAGTACTTGAAACAACCATACATATATAGTGAAGAAGGTCAGTATTCAATTATTATCAGCCTGTAAATGCGAATGCATCAAAGATTTCTTCTCCTTTCAGATCAAGATACAATATTAGGCTTAATTCACCTCTACAGGGTGAGAAAGTCATAAACCATAAAGATATTTACTGTTAATAAAATCCTTCTACAATCAAACTCAAGTGTGTTTATGTTCTGAGAAATGTATATTCAGGAGATGGGATACAGGAATTCTACCAAACTACATAATTTATGTGCTATAGAATGTTCACCCTTGTTCGATGTAATGCTCAGTTGAGTATTATTTCACATTTACTCATTTTGTGAACTGAACATGCTTTAATTAGGCCAGAACATGCCTATTGATATATTGTCACTTTTTCAAGGCAAGAACACAAAAGATTCAAGGAATTCACTCACTTAGCTTTAACATAGAAGAGTACATATGTTGTAGTTTTGTGGCAAAACTTCAAGGGGATTGTAGTCCTAGGTATGATGGACTACAAGTTAAAGACACAGTGTCTATAGAGACAGTTACAAAATGTGCAGCAGAGATCAAATACACCCAGATAGAATATGCAGCAATAGAAATAAATGATATGTAAACATCTGGTTCAGGCATAAACAAGCATATAGAATCTTAATCCTCATTAAGACCCAGTGGTTGCAATGTTCTTATGAGATGATATTCAAATTATTCGGAAATATAAGTGAAATACTCTTCCTGCTCCCCTCCAAACTCACTCAAGTGCAGTGAGATTAGTGTCATTATGCTGGAGAACACTCAGGCTTTTAGCTTTGGATGCATGGTTCACCATAAAGGGACACTTTCCTGTTTTAAATAAAGGGACACTTTCCTGTTTTAAATAAAGGGACACTTTCCTGTTTTAAATAAAGGGCATCAAACCAAAGCAGGTTAACACTGATGTTCCCGTATTGGCATTTCATGATTGAAACCATGTGGCCTTTTACAAAATCAATACTTTTTAGGCTCTGTTTCTCTTCATTTACGTCCACTTCAATTCTTGATCCATGACTTTAAGTGAGAAATATTTGCAGCCAGGAGGATCCATAATTAAATCTACCGGGAGATAAAGTAGGTCAGCTGCAAGATGGGTCGGTGGGTAGGGGGAAGGAAATCTGTTCCACTTTGGAATAATGGACCAATTTAACAGCATTCATCAACTGGAAATGACTGAAAACAACTTCCAAGCCCTCCCCCCCAAAAAAAACAAAAAAAGAAATACATAGAAAAAGTATTTAAAAACATCGTCTAAAAATGTATCAATTAAAAAGAGATCACAGGCGAAACTATGTTGTTTGAATATATAAATACACTTGATCTCCTTCAATGCCACTGCTAACCCCATTGAGGCGTGGAGGCAGCACAGATCCAATGTTAAAGGAGGCTAATTACTCCCAGTATCTCCCACACTCCAGGGAGGCCAGGTCATCCAGAGGACAGGCATGTGAAACATTCCTGCAGCCTGCTGCTGCTGGACCTCCCTCCCAGTCCCAGTCTTCCCCTGTCCTCCTTTTCTCCTCCTTCATCCGTCCTCCCCCGGCTCCTCGTCCCCGTCCTCTTCCCTCTGTCCCATTTAGCATCGCTCTAATTTTTTTTTCTTTTTCTTCTTGCTCTCCATCGTGATCGCTCTTTCCAATGTTCACTCAGTCAATTGTCATCGTTCTGTGGTAGGAGTGCATCTATTCAGCCATTCATCAATCACATTTTGTGGCATGTGACGTACGGATTTGTTCTGATTAAACGACGGCTCTGTGAGGTTGTACTTAGGGTGCTTTGAGGTAATTCTAATGTAAACATGCTAATGTCCTCGCAAAGACAACGCTATCGTGCTGATATTAAACAGGTACAGTGTTTACCAGCAACTATTACTAAACTCCATTTGGATTGAGGCACAGATCTGTGGCTGATGTGTGAGGTATTGTTGTATTCAGTCTGGCTGTACCCTGACAGTCCTGGATACCTCCATGGATGTATAAAGAGAACTTGATACAGCATTGAATGCGGCGCCCCCCATCATTCCTACATGCAACAGGGTTGCTCCGCGGTGCGTGAAGCAAGAAAAAGTTAAGACTTCCAAGTACAAATTTCCAATGGAAGTACTCGGATCTTCCGGCGCTCTCACGCAACCCTGGGCCCAAAAAACAAGTGCACAAGTGTTTCCTTTAACCCTGCTTCCCAGCCCACCTTATCGGGCTTATTTTGATGAACGGAGGAAGGAAAACCTCTCTGGATTCAGCTATGTGCTAGTGCATTTTACAAATGTTAGGACATAGTGATTTAAATGAGGGCCTTTCATGTGTTCGCACTGGGCGGTTGATTTAAAAAAAATTATCCGCTGTTTTACAGACGTCTGTTTCGAAATGTAAGTCTATGGGAAAAAATATATATACGCTACCATAGACGGTATACAAGAAGTGGATGTAGTCGTGACGTCATCCATCGATTTGTGGACTGCCGTTTTGAAGCCTTGAGTTCAACATTTTGACCGTTGCCATCTTGGCTTTACACAACCAATGAACTAAAGTGACCATATTTGGACTGGAGGAGTGACGTAGAGACGCCATGCATGGCTCTGATAGCGGTAGCAACCTGTCAATCACAAGGTAGCCCCGCCCTAAATCATACCCTGCTTTATGGTCTGTTTGACTCTAAATGGACCATCATTTACTAAATGAACATCATGCTGTATTGAAGAAGACTTGACACTAGAGATTGAGACCATAAACTCATGTTTACAATGTTTACTGAGGTAATAAATCAAGAGAGAAGTAGAGTCATTTTCTCATAGACTTCTATACAACCAGAGGAGTCGCCCCCTGATGGCCACTAGAGAGAATGCAGGTTTACTTCAGCATTGACTTCTTGTCAGAACCGGAGGTTGCCGCCTGTTTGCTACAAAGCCTGGCACTCTTCCTAGGGGCTTGTTTACATCTAGAAAAGCTCTGGGAAGGCTTACGTTAAAATAAAACATGCATTAGCCAACAAACGCTTTGGCGGATTCTCATAATTACAAATTTTGGTTTTTAATATAATTATACTCAATATTAATATAATATAGTTCACTTTATATATAACCTGACCCTAAACCATTAAGACCGATTTACTTATTATTATTTAGGTTTTTGTCCTGATTTGGTCAAAATCATGAAGGAAATCTACCCCAAATATACAAAACCACACAAAAACAAACCACATCTTGGTTTCGTTAAAGCTATAAAATCCTTTTCATCTGCTCCTCATTTTGTGCAGTTCTCCAGCATTTTGTCCAAATATGGCGTCGCACCAAATGGTAGGTAGACTGAATGACCGACTTCCCAACAGATCCTCAGCTTTCCTTTTGTTTCTTTACAACCAGTTGTAAACCTTCACTTGGAGCCTGCACCATTGAGGGGTTGTTTATTAGAGCAATATATCTCTTTATTCTCACTGTCACACAAACAGCAGTGATGACGGGCAATGAACAGGTTTAAAAGGGCTCTCTGTAAGTTAAACTCCTCTTTAAAGTTTTAGCTTATTAAACAAATAAAAATCAAGACCATACTTGCTGATTGATGAACAGTTGCCAGGTTTTTGGAATATAATGTGGGCAGTTATATTTTCTGACCTGCAGCCAACCCGTCATCTGACCTGTCCGGGATTAAGTGGAGTTTTGCATTAAGGACTGCCTAAACTTTTCAACAGTAGAAATGACACGAGTCAAACTGATACATCTAGTTTTTATAACATTGAACCTAAATTTGTAGATTTCACCTCACAGTCAGAGATTAACATTGGATATATACATTATGTTTGTTAATATATGCTTTCTGTAGACCCAAACTGTAGTGGAGGCAGAGAACCTCTACACGGCTTGATGAATACTTAGTTTGCTCAGTAAAGAAGCACATTTTTGGATGTTATGTGGAAGCAAACAATTTCAAAAAGCCTTTGCAAAAGCTATTTTTCTTTACCTATTGTTTCATTGGCCAATGCAATGTGGAATACGGTGTTTAATTACGATGTTTTTCATGGAGGAAATTAAACATTGTGACGATTTGATTGGCCGGAGATTAAGCAAAGTCTCACAAAGAAAAAACATGTTTAGAAATATAATGAATTAAAGACATTAAAGCAGAACTCCCCCCTTAAAC